TATATATACAAAGTATATATAAATGTCATAATTAAAACATTTGCCCATGAATGAATGACATTGTGCCACATTGTGCGATAAACATTATGTGCAAAGTATGGGGTGTCATTTGTAAATGTACACAGTCAAAAATTAACAGCAATATTTTGGTTCATTCAGCCTTTCATAAGAGAAAAAAAAGATTTTTTTCCCAAGTCATATTTTCACCATGTAATTCATACATTTATAAATTTCATTGTTCCAAACTAAACATTTAGTTTACAAACAAAATACATAACTTGCAAGTTACATATAGGTGTAGATTAAACATATAATTTCTAAAATAAATATTTATTTTCAAAACTAAACACTTCATTTTCAAACTAAAAATTTATTGACCAAGCTAAATATTTAATTTACAAACTAAACATTTTATTTCTAAGCTAAACATTTAATTCCTAAACTAAATATTTAATTTGCTAATAGCGCAGAACTAAATAATTATTTTCCAAGCTAAACATTTAATTTTTTTAATTAATTTGCTAAATTTTTAACTTGCAAGCTAAATATTTAGTTTACAAACTAAATACATAACTTGCAAGTTAAATATTTAGTTGGTAAGCTAAATATTTAGGTGTAAATTAAATATTTAATTTCCAAGTTAAACATTTATTTTCATAACTAAACATGTAATTTCCAAACTATATATTTATTTTCCAAGCTAAATATTTAATTTACAAACTAAACATTATTTCAAAGCTAAACATTTAATTCCTAAACTAAATATTTAGTTTGCTAATAGCTCAGACCTAAATATTTATTTTCCAAGCTAAACATTTAATTTCCAAAATTAATTTGCAAACTAAATATTTACCTAGCAAGTTATGTATTTAGTTTGTAAACTAAATATTTAGCTTGTAAATTAAATATTTAGTTTGGAACTATGACATTTATAAATGTATGGATAACATGGATAAAATTCGGCTTTGAAAATAACTCCCCAAAACTATTTTTTTTCTTATGAAAGGCTAAATAAACCAAAATATTGGTGTTAATTTTTGACTGTGTAACTTTACAAACGGCACCCCATAGCAACGCAGCTCAGTGTGTTACAGAGAAACCAATAAAATTACAGCAGTTATTTGGACAAGAAAACACAATAAAGCATTTGTCTGTTAATTTGGCATGAAAAACACAAATAAATACAACTGTTAAAGAGAACAAAGTACACTGTGAAGATCACTTGATATTAAAGCATGCCATGCAGATTTAGTCAGTAACAATAACAGCAAACAGCAGACGTTCTTTCATAAAAACTCCCCCATAAACATCAAACTGCAATAAATTGAGCAGGAAGGAATGCAGTTTTTTCAAAATCTCCCTAATTTGGCTATTCTTGCAGGTTTTTATTGTATGGTGACAAACTAATCCCTAATCTGCTTTTTTCTTCTTTAATTGTAATTAAAGACATAATCTTATAATACCAGGTCTAAAGGGTTAGAGCTCACTTCCAGACACACACACACACACACACACCGGTACTGTAACAGCAAAGCATGCAGCATGCACATGCACAAACTGTCGTAGAGACACTGAGCTGGAATTAAAGAGGAGGAGAGGGTCCCCGCTCGACTGAACGAGGGAGGAGCGTGGGGAAAACAAGATGACAAGAGAAGAAGAGGAGGCCCAGAGGTCAACATGAGGTCATATGAGGTCAGAGGTCAGACAGGTAGAGCTGTGAGGAAGAAGAGCAGGACAGGGGAGGAGGGCGGCTGGGCAGCAGATATGACATGTTACAGGTTCGGAGAAAGAGACAGAAAAGTTGGACATGTTCCTGAGGAAAGGAGAAAATTTCAGTTTCTTTGGCGTCTGTTGTCAGACAGGTGAAGTTTAGTCTTTTTCTCAGGAAACAGATAGAACCAGACAGAAAGACAAGGTATGAAGGCCCAGAGCACATTTCATTTTGTACTAGAGCCGCTTGCGACTTGTGTATCCATCCCAGACATACACACACGGGCATGTATGCACACACATGATTGTATGTACACTCGACATGTAACCTAAATCAAACATCCATAAAAAAAGGAGTCATTATTTATCTGTCAGGCTGTGCTTTGTGTCAGAAAATCTTGCCAGTAAATGTGAACGCAAGTTTCTTGATTCCCAGAGAAATAAGAAACATCTGTTCAGGGTACAATTTTAAAAGTGATAAGAGTGTAACTTAAAACAATGACTTGTGCCCCAGTGAAAAATGCACAGAGGCGGTGTTATTGCATGCTCATAAAGCCCAGGTTCTTGGTGGAAGAACGATACGATTCCTCAGACCCCAAAAACATCGTCTGAGGCTCATCATCATCATTATCAATTGCAGCAAAGCACCATGCACCGTTCCTTTCAACTTACCCCTTCTGAAAAACGGGGGTCTAATAACTCGTGGCTTGTGCACTAGGCGAGATGGCTTTGTGTCCGTGATCTCTTGTGGGGCAACAGAAACAAGGTACAATAGCTGTTACCCACACTTTAAGGAAGCAGGAAAACGTTGAGGATAAAAATGAATGAGAGCAGCAGTGGTCCTGCTTCTTACCAATACAACTAACTAGATAATGAATGGGATTTTCCAATTAAAATGCAGTAAAAAGGAAAAAATAAAAGAGTTTTTGGGCCAGGTCCACACTACTCTGAATATTCTATGATAAAAAATAAATAAATAAATAAATTAAAAAAAACACTGCAGCACTAATGCCTTGCCACTAGGTGGCAAGAATGTTCAAAATAAAGACATAAAACACAGAAAAAGAATATTAAAAATTTTGATTTTGCAAAAAAATTTTAACTTTTTTCCTTAATACATTTTAAATTACAACGGTGCTTTAGAGCCACCCTAAGAATTTTTTTTTTTAAAGCCATAAAATTACGTGAATAAAGTCGTAGTATTATGAGAATAAAGTCGAATAAAGTCATAATATGAAGAGAATAAAGTCGTACGAGTCTTTTTGCAACTCTAATGTTTCTATTTCCCTTGAGTCTGATCCACAACGTGACCTGTCAATCAATCCAGTAGGCGTGTCAGCAAATTACCAATCCAACTAAATGAGTCGTAACATTATCCGAACACCAACATATAATGCAGAACTTACCGCATTTTTACTGTGGTAAATGTTGGGCATCTTGTTAAGCTATACTTTGGTATAAGTTTTACAAATAAGGAGATAGTTAATCTGTTAGCACATCAGCATCAGATTATGATCAGTATCAGGACTTTGAACCCGCTTACAGTAAGGTGGTACGCTCTGATGGGCTGCAGTGAAGCTCTCTGCAGATAAGGAGCATTTTGCTTCAGATTGGTCATTTGCTGACACGCCTACTGGATTGATTGACAGGTCGCATCGTAGATTCAACTTGTGGAAAAAATAAATAAATGAACGAGAGCTGTTAAAAAAGTCTCATACGACTTTATTCTCGTAATATTAAGACTTCATTCGACTTTATTCTTGTAATACTATGACTTTATTCTCGTACTTTTATGACTTAAATTATTATTTTTTTTACGTGGCCCTAATGCTCCGTCGTAGTAAATAAAGCAAAACAGGAGTAGAAAAGAAAAACTATAAATAATGGCTTAACTGTTGTTTTAGATCCTAGGGCACAAAGTAAAATAGTAATGCACAAAAAAGTACGGTATTTTGAGTCTACATGGATATTACCATAGCAAAGATTGCTTTAGAAAAAAAAAAAAAAAGCATTTTATTTTGTTGTTTGGGAATCTTAGTTTTTCTTCTCCAAATACTGCATTTATGTATGGATGGGAGGTGCAAACGCAGCACAAAATTAAATAACTAAATACCTGGAGTAGTGTAGATGGAGTTGGTATCATGTTTTTGGGACGCATTTTCAATGTTTTTCACTGTATTAATAACATTTTAAATTACAATGTTTTCTTTTGTCTGAAAATATTGAAAAAATTTAATTTTGCAACGGTAACTCATTTCTGATGGATATATAAGTTTGGTTTAAAAAAAAAAAGGTTGTGTGTCTTACCATTAATGATGCTCGGAGACAGCATGGTGGAGTCACGATCGATCAGACGACAGGCTCCTTCCTCTGAAGACCCTGGTCCTGGCTGTGGGGCCGGACCCTCCAGTGATGTCACAATGTCTAAACGGTCGATGTTCTTCAGAGCGGTGTACAGGCTCTCCACTGAGCAGAAAGCACATTTTAGAGGAGGAGTACAAACACGAGGCGATAAAAACAAGAGTGCAAGTGAGAAATCAAAAACAGGAAAACAGGACAGGTCAGGAAAAGTAGGATGTGGAACTAAAATACCATTTTTTTGTCACTATTTCTCATGTCAGATTCTAGCTGTAGTTGTATTTGGATTAGCTGCATCAAAAGGTTTCAAGCATGCAGATTTAGTCTTTGTCCAAACGTTCTGTGGATTTCGTTTTTCTTCTCTTAATACAAGCATCCATGTTGTTGTACTTCTTCTTTTCCTATGCCTGATTTCATTTTGCACATTTAAATTCTTTAAGGCTACCATACGTTTGGCTTTACTGTCAAAGAAAGAACAGGGTGTTGGTCTTACTCTTGGCCCTTTTCCCCTCTCTGCTAGCCCATAGGTTAAGCAGGGCAGAGCTCTGGTCCAGTAAGGAGTTTGGATTTTCCACACGAATCCTGTTGATGTCATCAACACTGAACTGAAGCTCTCGAGCCAGTTCTGTCCAGAAGAACATCATAAAAACAAACAGAAAAAAATAATAAGGTTGGTATTTATGCCAAAAACACAAGTATCACATTATGTCACATGCCGAGGTATAAAACCTTAGTTAGCAACAAGATGCAGTAAAAAAATGTGGAAAAAAATTGTAAGTGTAAAATGAGTGACTCTAACAAGGGGAAGTACACTAATTCAAAATTCCATTTGACCCCTTTCTGCCAGCCCTACCTCTATGTTTTGCCCATTCACATAGAACTAGGGGGCTCCCAATTCTTTTGTGATGTAAATTGAAGGGCAGAGAGGCAGGGTTGCCTGGCACAAATTGAGGTCCCCACAAAATTAAGTATTTTCTCCATTAAATGTATTATATTCGTTCTGTTACTTGAAAATTAATATGTCTGAAATAATTGTTTGAAAAAAGGGGCAGATAAAATAAGATTTTTTCTTCTTTCTGCTGCCTTTCATTTTAAATTTTTTTGTATCTTTTTATATATTGTTATGGAATTGTTTTGTACTTTTTTAAAATGAATAAACTTCATACCATACCATACCATACCATATTGCAACAACCAGCATAATGTCTACTTTCATGTATTTCACTATATTAAATTAGGTAGCTTGGAGTTTGTTGCTCCCTCCGCAAGAGCTGCCATGGTCACGATTCTGTTCATAACTTTTATGGACAGAATTTCTCGGTGCAGCCAGGGGACAAAGAAAGTCCAGTTTGGTTGCCTCAGGATTCCTTCACTGCTATTTGCAGATGTCCTGTTGGCATCATTGTGCCATGACCTTCAGCTTTCACTGGATCGGTTCGCAGCAGAGTGTGAAGCGGCTGGCATGAGAATCAGCACCTCAAAATCTGAGGCCATGGTCCTCAGTTGGAAAAGGGTGGATTGCTCTCTTCAGGTCGAGGGTGAGGTTCTGCCTCAATTGGAGGAGTTCAAGTATCTCAGGGTTTTGGTTACAAGTGAGAGAAGAATGGAGCGCGAGATTGACAGACGAATTGGTGCAGCGTCTGCAGTATTGTGGACTACGTCCCGGTCTGTTGTGGTGAAGAGAGAGCTGGGCTGTAAGGCAAAGCTCTCTGTTTACTGGTCGGTTTACATTCCTACCCTCACCTATAGTCATGAGCTCTGGGTAGTGACTGAACGAATGAGACTGCGGATACAGGCCAGTTAAATGAATTTTCTCTACAGGGTAGCTGGACTCTCCCTTAGAGATGGTGTGAGAAGTTCAGTTATCCGGGAGAGAATCCAAGTATCGGTAGAACCGCTGCTCCTCCACATTGAAAAGAACCAGTTGAAGTGGTTTTGGAATCTGGTAAGGATGCTTCCTGGGCGCCTCCCTAGGGAGGTGCTTCGGGCATGTCTGACAGGGAGGAGACCCCGGGGAAGACCCAGGTTAGGCTGGAGAGACTATGTCTCTCAGTTGGCCTGGAAACACCTTGGGGTCCTCCCAGAACAGCTGGAAGAGGTGGCTGTGTAGAGAAGTGTCTGGGCCTCCCTGCTCAGTCTGCTGCCCCAGTGACTTGAATTTGGAACAAAAGATAATGGATGGATGGATGGATGAGTTTGTTTGAGTTTGAAGAATGCACAGAGAGTTTTGTAGTGAAACATTTCAACCCATTGTGACCTAAAGAGTAGTGTTCAAAATGTGGTCTTCCAACACCTACACCCACCTTGGTCTATGAGCTGGGGGTTAGTGGAGCATTTAATATGAGTAACATTTGAATCTGTCCAAGTCTACGTACATTGAGTCAGAACCAAAAAGCAGGAAGGGCTAAGGTTTGCTGCTAGTTAGTAGCACTCAGAACTTCCTAACAGTGGGCTGTATACGCCGTTTTCGTGTTTTTAGATTTCTGAATGACTAACCTGCCCAGCTTAAACCCAGCTGTTCAGATATAATGTTGATTTTGATCTCAGTCCTCTCCATGGCATTCACTGTTGCTAAAAAGAAGAAGAAAAAAAAAAGAGTTCAGAAATAACAAAAAAATATGTAAAGCCAATGCCATCAATAGCAAATAGGTGAACAATTAATGAACTCATGAGGCTAAGACTCCTATTTAATTTGAGTTACAGAGTATATCTGCCATAAATCATTTGGTTTCAGGGTGTAATATGTGACCTGAGAGACCTGACATTGACTTGACTTACTATTGATAAAAAAACTTACCTTTTTGTTCTGTTGGGGAGGCAAGCAATACCCACATTATTTTAATTTCACAAAGGTTAGTCACCATGTGGGACCAGGAAAATAGATTTTGGGTTTAATTCAAATGTTAGTCCCACTAACTGTGGCATTCAGTAATTATTATAAAGGAACCAAGTTGCAACATAGCAGCGCTGTGTATTTGATAGACAGAAAAGACCTTTCCTCTTCACCTTCCAGCCATTATTAAGATTTTTTTTCCCCATGTATTTTATTTTTATCACAGCCAGTTTAAGGACTCCTCTGTCTAACTCCACTGCGAGGTCCTGTCCATTCTCAATGCACAGGCATAGTGCTAATGCTAACAGCATCTACTTCCATGCCACTGGACATCCCAGTGGAGATACCAGCGTCATGCAGAAACAATTAATTGCTTCCAAGGCACTTAGGAAAGAAAAGGCCATTTCCTCAGGTGCCATGGAGACATTATGAGCCATGTTTAAAACTGTTGCTTGCTGTTTTGGCGGCACATTTTGCCTTTTTCCTCTTAACGGCACTGCAAATAACTTTGGGGCATATTGTTGAGCACTGCATCCAAGGCTCAGTCATTGTGCCATGCGTCCACAAGAGAAAGATAGGGGTAGAGTAGAAAGCGGGGTTATAGTTAAAGGGACATTGCAACAGTCTGTGCCCATCTCCATTATATTTTTAAATCAGGAGAAGGCTGATGGTCAGGCAATTAAAAGACTCACCCACACCAGGTTCATTCAGTGCACTGTAGCGCTCTCTCAGGGCTAGAGGGGTCAAAGTTCGCCTACGTTCCTCACTCCCGACAGCCTATAACAGAGTGAGAAATGTATTCATGATAGCTGTATGTGGATCTTTGAACTTTTTACAACAATTTTCTAGACAACATAACACTGACAACATGCAGTGCTTTGAGCTGTTAGAAGTGACATTTATCAGCATCCAAAACTTTGG